TTTAGAATTTAGCAGAATTTGACACGGATGAGCTATAAGTGCTGAAATAGAATTGAGTTTATTCAAGTTCGCTTTCTAGCTAAAGTTTAAATAGAATTTGAACAGAATATAAGAAATAATGAAGCAACTTGTCTGTTTCTTTGCTGGTGGAAGGTGGACAGCTGGGCTTGGGGTTTGCTCGACATGTTGTTTCGCTCTTTCAGCAGGGTGACCCTCGTGGACGCGAGTTCAGAGTCTGCTGGCGGCATCGATCGGAGGAAGTGCTTCGGATTGTCGCAAGCAGCGTTTTGGATTGCGTCAGTCTGCCACTGAGCCTGACGAAGCACACGACCACCAGCCAGTCCAAAGCCTTCCCGCAGCGTCGGCTCTACAGGAGCTCGGCGGAATCAGTCTATTAGTCTGGCCCCTCAATCTCTCCTTCGTCGCTTTGGGTAGGCCAAAAGCAGCTCGGCCAGGGAGCACAAAGACTTTGCAGCGTCAGTGATGCAAACCCATGCCCCGCAGTATGATGCGGTATCTTAATTTGAAAATGAAAATCAAGGCGCAAATAAATCACGTGAGTGCTCGCGCAAGCTTCCGCCTACGCGGCTGCCCTTGTTATCGCCCGTGCGCTTCGTGGCCCACGCGCCCCTGGCCACAGGCGGGCTCGCCACGAGCGCACCATGAGCCTGTGGGCCCGCCAGGGCCGCCGCGAACCATGCGCAGTTTCACGCGGCCGATATTTGTGTTTTGGCGCTTGTTCTCTTGCTTGTTTGCTTGCTCGCTGGCCTGCTGGCTTGCACTCGCCATTTGCTTTTTGTTTGCCTGCCTGCCTGCCAGCCTGCTTGTTTACGGCACGCACCTTGCCATTTTCGCAGCTGCGCTGGTCAAGTAGTGACGTTCGATGTTGAGGACACGCCAGGGAATCATGCTCGGCGATGGAGTTGTTGACAGCTGGCCCAGGATCGGAGTCTCGCCGCTGTTTGCTGTCAGTTGCTTTGTGCCCAAACACCAGAGTATGATAGAGTATGTCTAAGGTCGCCACCATTGCACCATCGACGCTAAAGCTTCCGTGCCAGCGCTGCCCGGACCTCCGACCACGCATCCTGGCATCACCTGCTCGCGCCATTGCTTCAGCTGCTCGCTCTTGGACCCAGCCGATCCGTACCACCTGTAGAACAGGCTGTAGACGTTGAGGTCTTGGGCCGAGGTGGTGTTGTTGGTCACTGTGCGTTTGTGAGGTTCACCTGTCGGCTCCACCTCAGTGTGTGCGGAGTTGTTCGTTGCTTCGCAGCCCTTTTGGGCGCGCATACGCACGACGCCTGAGAGAAGTGCTTCCCTTGTTTATTTGCACTCTAGTTGTTCTTGTTCCTGCTTGTTGGTTCAATAAGGGACAGTATTTTTGAACTGACGCCAGTGGCTTGCCTAAGGCTGCAACCTTCATTGATTAAACAAAATCAGTCAAGCAAGCTTCATGCATCATGTTCATAGTTGCTCTTCCGCAGATACAATCTGGTGTAGCATGGTCAAACCTGAGTCCTCAGACTTTCACTTAATGACAACTTCATCAAGTCCATGCACCAGCTGAATCTTGATCAAAGCCAACCCCAAGTGGGCGCACGCGTCCGCCTCTAGATCAAATTGAGCACACGCACACGCGTGTGTAAGTACAAATGCGTGCGTTCAACACGCACACGCCACACGCTTTTGCGTGAGCATCTGTTTCTAGGGAAGCCCCCTTCCACTCGTCACAATGCGCTGGCCTCAAAGTCCTCTAGCCACTTCAAGGCATTCAGCTCCTTGCATGGCTTCTATGTGCAACAAACAAGAAGCCTTACACAGCATGTCCATTCAAACACAGTCGGTCACTGGTGGTAGAATGTGTCATTGAAGGCTTTGCAGCCAAAATAGGCACTTCAGTCACGGGTGGATGCTGTGGGTGTCGACTGTCTAGCCAAACGTCTCTTGGTGTTCTTGTTTCACTTTCTTTCTCCCAGCCCGCCAACATCACCAAGTTTCTCGAGGCTTCCCCCACGACCGCAAAGGGTTGAAAAAGGCTGCAACACTCGCTTTTATCCCCCTCTTCCCCCCCCGAAAGTCCGCAAAGGGCTCACTCTTTTGATGGCGCAAGCTGAAAAACAAGTAAACACCAGCCCACCTCGGAAATTGCGAAACCTTCCTTGAGAACACCTGGCCGCACCAGAGCATTCCGCGACATCCGTGCCCGAAACTTACAGCTGGCCCACCCCGAACCTCCGGAACCATTGCTTGAAACTTTCACCTGGCCTGCGCTAGACCACCTTACTGGCTTGCGCCAGACCACCCAGAACACCAGACCCACGCCGGAACCTTGAACACCACCCCGAAAGACCCAGAACCTTGCTCGAACTCCAGACCTCGGCCGAGCCACCCCCAAACCTTGACCCCTTAGCCTTCAGCTGTTGGGGAAAACAGTTTTTTGAGGTTGGCCGCGCGAAAGTCTACAGAGGGTTGCGCGAGCAAAGTGGAAATTGTACAACAAAGCTCAAGCCTTCAAGGGTCGAGCCGCAATGCGACCCAGAGCGCTCCGAGACTGCCGTCGCGAAAGAGGTGGCTTGCGCAGATGCCAAGAGCCTAGCAGTTCATCGCTTTTTCGCAAGCGAACTGCTACGGAGGTTCCTTCCACTGTTAGACTCCACGAAAAAGACAGCACTACGTGAAACGGTTGATATTGGGCAGGAAGTTGGAGCAATCTGGAGCATGTGGGCTTGTCTTCTATAGTTGTCTGTTGTGAGGGCCGCCTTGCCCTAACAATGTGGCGCTGTGTGGCACTGTGGCATTTGCTCAAGCAGCGGCTAATAGGAGCCAAATGCTGCTCACGGCAGAAAAAGGACTAAGCTCAGCCTCGCTGAACCCTGCAACACCTTACCCCACGCAGACCACCCCAGAGCCTTGCGGAGCCGTCCCTTGCGCTCCTTGAACCTTACACCGGGCCTGCGCCAAACACACCCGGCCACCTGGAACCTGCAGAACCTTCCTTGAACCTTGCAACATGAATGCAGAACCTGCGGAACCTAACCGCAGAGCTGCCCCGAACCACTCCAGAGCTGACAGCTGTTGGCAGAACCATTGCTTGAACCTTACACCGTGCAACCTCCGGAACCGTTGCCTGAACTCTCACCTGGACACCTAAACTTCCGAGAACATTACTTGAATCTTGCCAGCCACCCCGGAACCTCCGATTGCTTGGAGCCTTTCGCCTGGCCAGCTTGAACCTTTCACCTGCCAAACCACCCTCTGGCCTGGCCTGCACCAAAAACCTTCCTTGAACCTTACACAGGCCTGTGCCAGACCACCCTGCAATCTCTGGAACCTTCCTCGAAGCTTGCACCTGCACCAAACTGCGCCAGACCACCACGGAACCTTCATTGAACCTTACACCTCCCTTAGCTTTCAGCTGCTGGGGATTGGGAAATGCAACTTTTGTCTCTCTTCTTCAACATCGTCTGTCTCAAGGTGCTTGGACCAATAACAAAACAAAGAAGCAATCCAAAGACCTCAGCACAGGGAACACGCAGTCTAGGCAAGCAGCACAGTACACAAAGCGCCCGTCCTTCCCAGGGCAGCGTGCACACAAGCGCAGCGCTGCGCTGTACAGTCCGGCCCTTGAACTCGCTGCTGGCCTGTCCTGGAAGTCAAGGGCAGCTCATGCATCAGATCTGTTGATTCACTTGCCTGCGTTGCCTGGCCTGCGGTTGAGTAGCATCGACTGCTTTGCCTGCCGCCTCTTCGGCCTGTAACGGCGCTACGCCATACACAAAACATGCGAGGCGGTGACGCAAAGGTGGCACTTGAAGGCAGTCAACACGGGCGGGAGTACTTAGAATGATGATCAGGGTGTCCAAGCAATAGCTATTCTAAAAGTAAAGTAAGCCCTTCTAAACCATATCCCTTGGGCAACTAAGTACCATTAAGGACGAGTAAGTCCTCTTGAAAAACTTTGAACGGAAGAAGGAGAAGGCATAGGACATGTTAAGTACAACTCCCATTCAACTCATATCCCTTGGGGGCATGGAAGCACAAGAACACACAGCTTACGTGACAAATGCCTGAGCACCGACAGACCACCCTTGCATGATTTGCCCAGACTAAACAGGGAAACGCTTGATATGCAGGGGCCACATCTCTGCCCCCCCGCTTGACATGCATGGTCATTTGGGGGCCAAGAATGCCGATCAACCCCACATCTCTGCCAGCAGACACAATCGAGGTCACTTATACTGCAAGGCTCAGGAACAAGTCCACTGCTTCGAACCACTGCGTGCAACTTCATAGCTTCTGCATGCTGAGCCCATGGACTAGAAGGTCCTCACAACACAGCATGCAACAAATCACCCGGAGCACAAAGGAGCAACTCACGTTAAGGGGAAGAAACTCAACTTGAACCGGATCTCATCCTGTACTGTAAAATATCGTGTCTCAAAAACCGAGCACAACAAATGCAGCTGGCCAAGGCCAGAACATATTTGCCTGGGCTGATCTTGCCTCACCTTGAAGCCCACAATGGCAAAACCATTGTTGGTGTGACTGCTTTGGCTCAAACATTTGCTGGCAGCCGCCCGCCCCCGACTTGCATAGATACAGCAACACGTTTGGGTTCGAGCGCCTTTCAAGCAAGAGGCAGCAACTACTGACAATCTCAGGCAGTGTAAATATAAATTGGCTAATGTCCTGCATACTCAGCAAGGGCGTTGCGCTTCTCTTTAAATCACAGCCACCATGATTTTGAGGCTCTGCAGGCCTGACAAAGAAATATGGTGGAACACAAGAGGATGGAAGCCTTCGTGGATTTGGGTCTGCCAGCGCTGACTGGGGGGATTTGGGGGTAGAGCCTTAGCTGGCGCAGCAAACTTTGCAATAGTCTCAATGACATATAGTTACCTTGGACCCATTTGCACTGGTGAAACTAACCGCTTCCCCGCACTGCTCTGATCATTTACGCAGCTCTGACCTCTTGACTCATCCTTCTTAGGTCTGCAGCCTCAGAGCTCAGGTGATATTCTACGAAGTGGCGTTGAGCTTCTTGGCGCCCTCAGTTTCAAGGCTTTCAGGCTTTTCCACGAGTCCGGCCGTCTGTCTGTCCGCCCATTTTTCATATGCGTGACTTAGCATCTCGTCCATAATTTGATGTGACAACGCGGACACTGTCCCGTCGACCCTTCTATTCGCAGCTAAACAAATATAAAAAGCAAGCTTAAGTAGCTCAAAAAGACAAGTCAACCATAAATGATCATGGGCATGAGCATGACACTAAACATTTGCACAAACTCATCTCGCCTGCCCAGGCACAAAAAGACATATCTGGCGAACTCAAAGGTACAAGTCGGAAAGCTGCCTTTTCAGCCAAGCATCCTTCTGGATGCCGTGTGCATCTCCAGCAATTGCATGAATTCGTCCTGCTCCTGCCTTCTAGAGCGAATCGCATCCTGATCCTTTGAAGCACCGCGAGTTGAATGCAGCCCTTGCTGTGGCTTGGAACTGCCGATGCAATGTGTCGTCTTTGCCTGAGGCTCTTGACACTGTACTATTTTCTCAGCTGCGCATATTCCAGAAGCGCAGCACTTCACTTCAGTTGCCTCCGCTTCAGATTCTTCGGCACGTGCATTGTCTGCAGAAAACTCAAGATGATGACGATCCTGATTGCTGTTTGATTGGCCGGAGCCTTCTTGAGGCAAGGGAGGCCTTGTCCCAGAGAATCGGGGGCAATGCATCGGCAGATCGCGCAAATCGTGCCGATCACGCATTTCCTTGCCGAAAACGAATGACTCCTCATAGCAATTCCCATGATTCGGAGGAAAACAAGCGTCATGCTCGAAGAACTCGATTGGGATGATGTCATCGTCCTATCAGAATAGGCAACAAGCGGCAACATGCACCTTCAAATCATGCACACACATCAACTCAAATTGGTCTTGACAGCTTCGAACGAATGCAGCAACTGGTCCTCGCCATCCGTTTCAGCATAGCTTTGATGCTTATGCGGAATGTCCAACTCACTATCCACTAAATCTACTGCCTTTCTCGCTTCCTCCAACTCTGAGTCTGTCAGATTTGCACCCTGATGCCAAGCTGGGAATACGGGGTCAGGCAAAGACATGAAGGCATTGTGTAGCTCCATTCTGGACACGGTTCCTCCTGGCAAACGGTCAATATTTTAGTGTTCTCCGGAACCCTCAGCACAACTCCTCAACTTACCTGGGCAGAGACCCCATAGCTTTAGGCCTCTTCAAGCCTGTGTTTTGTTGCTGTGTGTGTTTGTTGCTGCAAATGAGACGTTGTGTTGAAGGCTATGAAGCATTGCAAGGGCTTGAACTACAACGGCCAATGCAGAATACCAGGTGTTGTATTCACCAAATTGCCGTCAAACGAATCCTGGCAGATCGATACGCGTTCAGTTTTGAATGGAACCATTCTGAAAAACTCAAGGCTACGCCCTTGTCTAGTTTCAATCGGACTTCTGGGGAGGTTGTGAAATCGAGTTTCCTGCCAGCATGGGGTTCATTGAAGTGTCCTTTCACGCTTCACACTTGGGACACTTTATCACGTCCACGAATGATTTGAGGGACACAACCCATTACTATAGGGTCTTTTGGTGTTGGGCAAAAGAGACCTTCCAGGTTCTTGCAGCTCCTCACACAACGTCCAGAGTAGCTCAAGCGCTCCTTGATCAATGTCAATGAAGCGAAACAGCTTTCTCAGGATATCTTCATTGAAGCTATCAGCGTTGCATCCTCCGAGACGTGGCATGATTCCAGCAATGAAGCCATCCTCATTAAAATGCTCACCTTTGCTGACATCCATTTTCAAAGTTACTCAAGCAACGCAACTGATTTGGCATGGGGCTGCCGCAAGTAAATGGTATCTTTGTACTGCATGTCATGCTGGAATGCCCTAGACACCCTCCACTGGAATACAAGGGCGCCTGAACATATCACAAAAGCACACTAGCTCACATATTGCAGACTGGCAACCTGCCTCGTCAACTGTCACCGACTCCTTGTGAAATCGGAGTTGAGCATGAGATGCTCAATGTGCAGTGCGTGCAGTTTAGCAGTTCTGTCATGAGTGTGCCCGGCTCCTTGAACCAAGATAGCCTGGCTTGGCCCTTTCGCTTCGACATCGAGGAACTTTGAAGACTCTCCCCCAGAGATGCAGCAAGGAGTCGTAGCTCCCTGCGGGCGTCCTCACGACCCATTCAGATTCCAGCCAAGACTAGTCTCCCAGTGCATCAAAGGTTTGCGTGCCGTCACTTGACATCATCTCATCTCACAAAGTGATATCCTCCTGCTGCTGGAGATGTCTTGCAATGATCTCACCCTCCAATCGTCCGGGCAAAGCCACGTCAAAGGCTTTTCCGGCCACGCGATATCGCAATGGGTTCTGCGGCTGCAGGCCAAGAAGCGCAAACCTTGCAAGTGTGGTGACAAAGCTGTCAACTGAGAGAATCACTCTTGATAAACCTGATACTGCTTGCTCTCTTTCTCTGTTGCTAGCAAGACCACACCACAAGAAGCTCTGTGAAAATAATGCAGCACATGCATTGTCTCAAAGGGACTGCAGGGCATCCAATGCAAGATCCACACTCCTCACCTCAGGGTACATGACCACAGCTGCATGCAACCACGCGGACAAATTGCTAAAATAATTATCACTCACACTTCCTGGATCCTCAAATGAACTCTCTGTGCAGACTCTGCATACATATACATATATGGCAAGATAGAAACTTGGCAAACGTGCTTGTCCATCATGTGCTACTCAAAAAGCTAGCTTCGGCAACTTTTCATGGCATGCCAGGGTGCTCTGATTCATCAACATGTTGGCTCTATCAGGATTCTGTGCCTCATTGTCAAGCATGCCCCAAGAGAGTTGCCGGAGCTCCAGGCAACTTTGGGAGCTCAATAGCGTCACCAAGTCGTACAGCCGTTGCGCAAAGGTTGCTCTCATTCGGAATCCGGCCGCCTGGCTGCCAGCACGATCAAAGGGCATCGAGCCACTGCAAATGACAAGACACGTCCGCCTTATTGATTTGATAAAGGTAGAGGTGACGCAATATCGCACAAGACACCAGCAGCACAAGGAAGCCAATAATTGAGAACCTGATAGTGAGCAAAAAAGCCAGCAAATTACATATGTCTGCTTGTACCTGCTTCAGCGCCAGCTAATCGCAACCTAGCCCTCTGTGCCATTCAGCCGAGGAGCGTGGCATAATTGACAGTTGGATGGTCCAGTGCATCTCCATCTTCGCCAGCACCAAGAGCCAGAACGATAGCGAAGAGGCCCAACTTGGCACTCAGGTCAACAAAGTGATCGAGGCCAAACTTCCAAGGTCGTACCTTTCGTAGAGACACGAGAATGGCACATGCGGATAGTGCAAACTACAACATGGTCATCTGTCGAAGCCAAGCAGCCTGGCATACCAACAAGGCATAAAAGCAGCACACGGCACTGGTGAGGATGGTCTGATATCGCACACTGTACATGATGACCGGCATGGTGTTCAGCGCAATGCCATAAAGTAGCTGCACCAAACCGAACCACCAGCACCTTGGGATCTCAGAAAATCGCCGATAGAACCAGCACGAATTCAGCACCTCAAATTGAGAAGCCTGTAGAGGAATCAGGAAACCGTTTTATTATTGGGAACCTAGTTTGGCGACTTGAGGGCTGGCACGCGGCATGCGGTTGCGCGTGAAACTGCTCCGAAAGGCGGAAGGGAGACTCAACATGCTTCACTGCGAGCTGCGGCTTCGCCGAAGCCACAAACAGGCCTTCAGCTTAGGCCCCCACGTGGGGTCAAAGTTCGCCCAAAGGCAGCGGAAGGCACGCTGGAAGAAGGGCGAGGAGCCTGGACTCAAAGTTCGACAAAGGACTCAACAACTCAACAACTCAAGAGTTCGACAACAGACACTCAACAGACACTCAACTTTTTCAGCTCTGAACGCTCTGACTCTGTCCAAGCCGCAGTAGCGTGGTGCAAGAAGAGCCAGGTACGCGTACACTGCCAGGAAGAAAACTGAAAAGAGTCCCAAGCATACCAAAGACACAGGGAGAGCAGCTCTCCATTCTTCTGATCCAAAGATGACAGCTGGGAATGCCAATACCGTAAGCTGCCCAGATGGATTTGATCCAACGCGGAAAATCTTGAGTGGTGCGGCAGTGATTGTGATGAAGAGCGCGTTGTGGGTAAAAATATAGGCATTGATCACGTCGAGAATCGACGTGGGTAAATATTTCTGTACACGGCCCACGGCTCTGTGGGAGGAAAATGTTACCAGACAGCTAAGCCCAAAAATGGTCCCAAAGGCAACCATCAAGCCTGCCGGCAAGGCACCGTGAATGATGACAGTGGAGGTAAAGTCTTGAGTGAAGCACTCAATCGGCAGGCCAACTGCCGAGAAATCCAGCTGTATGAATGCAAATCTATTTGAAAAGTCAGAGAATTCGGAAGACGTGTTCGGGTTCGACCCGGTCAGGACAAGCAGAACTTGTGGAACACCAAACATGATGCCCAACGCGATGCCTAAAGGGGTGGGCTTCTTCAATGAGCTGAAAAAGAAGTACATTGCCAGAAGTGTGGTTGCCACGTACATACCAGCCTCAGCTTGCATCCGTGACAGCATGTTCAAACACACAGAGCGCAATAATAAGCCTCAAATCAAAATTGGAGCATGCCTTTGACATCCACCTCGAAGCTAAAGGTTCAAAAGGTAGCAGCTTGACATATTTAAGTTTCCCACCTCCGGAGAGAGAACTAGAATCCAGCTACATCCAGCTACACACTTTGGCGCCAAGAAGCAGCATGAAAAGTGTGCCAAAGAACGCCATACTAGTCACACTGGTCAAAGAAACTGTCCATTGATTTACGTTGGCATTTGCCATGTTTCCAACCGAGAGCTGGAAGCAAGTCAGTTGCTACGTCGTATCTTGGATGGCTCAGTCTGTGGGGAACCATGCTGGGAGGGGAATGGTTTTTCTGTCCCGGGCCGGAGCCGGAGCCGCGGGGAAGGATGATCGGAGAAGGAGCTGGAGCCGAGTGCCGGAGACGGAAAAAAGCTTGTGTGTGCCGCGAACAGGTCCACGCAAAACATCTGGACCAGGATTTTCATAGGAACACGCGGATAACTGATCCGGAAAATGGATGCACAATCCTTCATTTTCACCGCAAGCGAGAAAGTTGTCTGTCACACAGACACCAGGTGAGGTGTAACCATACGCAACCGTTAAACCGTTATGGGCTTTCCTACATTCTCCTACAAAACAAACCCTCCCTGATCGCATCGCGCCCCTGTTTGAACAGCAATGTAAAAGAGACGGGGATCTCATGGGCATAGGCTCCTTTGCACTGCTTGAAGGTACACTCAGCCGCGCAGCGTGAAATGCTGCAGTCGATCGCTGCAACCTGGATGTGGCCTTCCGTCCATGACTCCACAACATGCGCTTCAAAGCGGTACTGCAGTCAAAGCGTTGCGGATGTGTTCCGGCAACTGCCGCAGGCGACTCAGACCGTGCGAGTACCTATCGCGATTCTCGCCTGGTGCCCTGGTTCGGACCTTTAGACCTCGGTAGAATGCGAGTTCAAGTTGGGAAGGGACTGGTGAGGAATCTGCAATGGCGTAGCTCTCAAAGCGCAGCACAATGACGTGTCCTTTTGGCACGGGATGCGAAGGTGGTCTGTCCACCGGCGTAGTGATGGCTGCACAGGTCGATTGCTAGGCGCAAGGGGCCCCTAGATGATTGGTGGCCGCGGTATGCACACAGGAGACTCATGTGAAGTCCTTGCAAGGGCAGCAACTGATAGGCCCACATGTACAGAGGCCTAGCTGAATTGCATGGATACAAAACCCTTCCTCAGTTGATGACCTTGCATCGTCAATGGCCTTCACGGCGGACTTGCCCAGGGAGTGGTTCTTGCGGGCACTGGTGAAGTCCTTGTCGTAGGCGATGCTCCAAAGCCCAGTCTGCAGATACTTGTTGAGACCAACTCTGCATTCAGGCTTCTTCTTGGTGAGAGCGTCACCCAGGTCATAGTCGCTGGCCAACCAACGCAGCTCAGAGGCCGTCCGTTGCATGTGCTCACGCAACTGTAGGGCTTGCAGGGCAGCCCTCGCATTGCTCAGACCAAGCATCGGGCTCTCGTTGTAGACGACAGCATCATAACCGCCCTTGGAGTCGGTGCACAAGACCCCTTTGACGTTTTGGACCAGGGTTTCGCCCCAGGTCACATAGCCGTCCTGCTTGGTGAGAACGGAGCCTGCGCCATTCATCTCACTCCAGAGACCACGAATCCTGAAGTTTTGGTCTTCGCCCTCCAAAATGGCTTGGACCTCAGCGTCGTTCGAAGAAATGGATTTCCTTCGAAGTTTCCAGCTTCGCCAGGCTAAGGGTGCCATATAGGTGACCTTGCCCTTGGTGGCGGCAGGTCCAGATGCAGTAGACAACAGGCCGCCGGTCGAGTCCAGGTTTGCTCGGTTGGCGTGCGCCTGATCGCAGAAGGTGATGAAGACCACATCACGCCAGGATTCCACCTCATCGGGGCATCGAAAGTGCAGCTGGTGTGATACCTTGCGGATCTCACCTACCATCTGTTGAAGTTCACGAGCAACAGCCATGTGCTTCTTGGTGGTGATCTCCGAAGCAAGTAAATTGCACCGGGCACTGAGTTGTGGCTGTGTTTGCAAAGCCAGCCACTGAAGGTTGCCCCAGGTTGCTCGGCAAGCACCAATCTCATCAGCAGTCATGAGTGCGTTTTCTTGCCGAAGGCGATCTGGAGGGATGTCCAGGTCCGGCACAGTCTCGATGTAGTACTGCTGGCTGAGAGTGATCTCAGTGCGGCCCTTGTTACCCTTGAAGGCATGAACATCGGTACCAGCATGGCGGTAGGTGCCGCGCTTGAGCATGCCCCAGTCGTAGAGCTTGTCCATGCGTTGAACAATTTCAGCCCACTCTTGAGAGTGCGGGTCGCCGATTCGGTGAAAATCATCGACATGACCGCCCATAAGACCAAGAACCTTGGGGACGCCGAAGGAGTCCGAGTAGATCTTGGACAACCAAATCCAGATGCAACGTTCTCCAACAAGAGGCGTACCACCTATGGAGGCAAGACGCTTGTGCAGGTCTAGCCACAGACCTCGAGGTGCGGTGGTGCTCCCGTAGATGTTCTTGAGGATCTTCATGACATCGTTGGGACCCAAACCAAGAGCGTCTCGAAGTTCAGCAACACCATGTGTCCACAGGTTTTGATCAGCCTCCGTGGGCTGAGTCTGCAGGAAGGCGGTTGCAAGGTCCAGACCTTCCAATGGCCAATTGTGAACACAAGCCATGAGGTAGAGGAGGTTCAATGCGACTGAACTGGGCTGGCGGTCTTGAATTCAGGCCGAAGGAGATCAGGGTGCTCATAGCCCAGCAGCACTATGCGTGCTTTGGCTTTGCGAAGTCCATCCTTGGTGTATGGAGACTTCTTGTTGGTGGCGGCTTCGCGCTTGGCCTCCTCGATGTCCTCGGGAGGCGTGAGTTTCCATGTGAGGACCCATCTGGCTCGCATGATGCGTCCAGATCCAAAAGCTTTGCGGACCTCTTCGTCGTTCAAGGCCTTGCGAACTGCCTCGGCCTTGATGAAGCTACTGACTTCCTTGGACTTGGCACGGTTGAAGAGTTCCCGGAGCTCGTTGGACAATTTGGCCAACACAACCTCGGAGTCCCGCATCTTTTTGACCATGAAGGCAGAGGCGTTGGACTCGAAGGATTTCTGCTGGCGGTGTGACGGCAGATCCACATCGAGCTCGATCTGCATAACATCCTCACACTGCATGAAGAGGTGGTGAAGGTCGCCTTCTTGCTGTTGAAGTTCTCCTTGGTGGTAGTGCTTGAGGTCGAGGATTTGAGCTCGTGGAGCAACTGATCATCCTCTGCCGTGCGGGCCTTCTTGGAGTCAGGCTCGTAGGCATTGACCGGAAGATCATCTTCCAAATCAAATGGTAGTGCAGGAGGTTCCGCATCTGGTGACGTGGGTGCGTAGAGGTCGGAGTCCCTTTCCCAGGCGTCATCACCGGAAGGTGCCGAGACCAGACGTCTGTTGTCGGGTGCCAGGGCAGACTTCTGTCGTACACGACGCTTAGGAACGTAGACCGTCTCCTTGTTGGGGGAGTCAGGCAGATCTGGTAATTCACGTTCACCAGGAAGTGGTTCGTCTCTGTTGATTTCAAACTCGGTCTGCTCCAAGGACGTGGTAGGGCGTACCGAGTGCACACTGCAGCGAAGAAGTTGGTTCTGCAGCAAGACCCAAACAATGTGTCGGCGCTCATCGTCACCTCGTTGATGTGGAAGCACTTCGTGGAAAACAACTCTGCCGGGTCCTACCCAGTGAGGCTTGCCCGATTTCTTGTGGCCGCCACGCTTGCCCGAGTGGACAGACGCTGGCCATTGCTTACGCCACACCATGACCAACTGCATCGGATGGAAGGTGCGAAGTGGCTGACGAACCGTGGTGTTGTTTAGCTTGGACATGATTCGTGAAGCTCTGGTTCGTCGGGCCGTGTCCTCGGCTGACTGGCGTAGTTGAACTAGCCGTGAAAAATCACTACCAGGAGATTCTGGCAGGACCGAGAGAGTCCTCATGTCCTCATCGCTGATGGAATAGTCCTTACCATAGCACCACTGGAAGGAGGAGTAGCCCTTCACATACTCGGTGGAGTTGAGAGCGGCTATCGCCAGGTGCAAGGTGATGATCGGATCTTGAGCAGGTGCTCCAAGCTGGATGGCAGAGGCGGTCATCTTGACATCCTTCATGGCGGATTCAATTTGGCCATGTGCCCAGCTCTCCTTCTCGGCAGGTGGTGCCAACTGAATGCCCACATCCGACAGGAAGCTACCCATGTCCTTGGAGACCATGGTGAGTGCATTGTCCGGGATGAGGATCTCCGGCTTGGGTTTGTCGGCCAACCATTTTTCAGCAAAGCCGCGAATGATGTCCTCCGTGCTCTCACTCTGCATCTGCAGTGTGTCGTAGCACTTGATGATGTGAATGACACGTAGGCGTGTGGCCAGGTCCATCATGAGGAGGAACTTGACCTTGGTCTTGGCGCTCGGGATGATCCATTCACTGACATCCATGCCAACGGCTTGCCAGGCTCGGTGTAGCTGGTGTGTAGCTGCAGGTGGAACCAGGCCAGAAGATGCTCCGCCAGGTCGAAGAGCATCACAAGATGCACACTTGAAGCGCTTGGCCATCTCGATCTTCCAAGGTGGTAGTTGTGCATCGCGGAAAAGGTGGATCAGGTTCCGGTTGGTCGGATGTCCAGCGGCTCGATGGAAGCGATGTAGTTTTGCTTCCCATGCCTTGGCTTCATCAGGATCTACATCGGCGAGTAGGTCAGGTGGTTCGCCATCGGGCGCTGGTGGATCATCAGGCCGTGCAACTTGCTGGGCATAGACGTTGCCCGTTGAATTCGCTGGTAGTACTTGAGGAGGAGATTGTTGAGTCGCTCTTGAGGACGTAGACTGCAACAGAGCTTGAGGTTGAGATGCCGCAGGCGTCAAGGGAGCAGTGGTAAAGGCTGAATCTCCATCCAGGTGGTGGTAGTTCATATGGATGTTTTGGAGCGGACTCTCACGACGAGTCCAGTTGCCATCCTCATCGTCAAACTCGTTGTTGGCGATGTTCTGGGTGGCCGAGAGATACTTGATATGGCGAAGAGGTACCAGTTCACGAAGCCAGTGTCTGACAATGGCTTGTACCATCTTGAGCGGGTAGTAAGCACTGCGGGCTGTTTCACTGCCCTCTACGCGGGCGTGCTCGTGGTTGGCGGTGCAGACCTTGGCTCGGAAGTTGTGATGGAAGCGCTCATCGGTGGTGCGGATCATCCATTTCTTGTGCGAAGATCTAGTAGTGGCTGTTGCACCCAACCAGAGCAGGGGTGTGTCCATTCCCAGTAGATGTCAACGTTGGGGTCCTCCCGCAGGATCTCTAGGAAGAAGTTCTTGGCCTGCTTGAGCATGCGGCGTTCACGGCGCCGGGCAGTTTCTAGGACTTCGCGACGTTCAGGAGTGCTGTAGTTCAGATTGGCAAACTGACACCACTTGGTACACGGTGGTGAGAACCAAATCTTGCGTGGCTTGCGACGTCGCCGTAGAGCACGAAGCTTGTCCCAAGTGTCTGGTTTGTAGATGTCGTAGCCAGACTCGAAGTTGATGCGGCGTGCTTGTAGTCCATGTTGCTGTGCCTCGGAGGTAAGCCAGGAGGTGCTGGAACAGGCGACTTCCCAGATGAAGTCCTGACCATCAAGTACTATGTCAGCTGACGCTGAGGTGAGGTTGTTGTTCATGAGGGTCATGAGCTGGAGTAGCTTGAGGCCAAGATGCTGAGGTAGTCGCTTCACTGACTCTCCGTGATGGGCGTCATGATGCCGTCCTCGAAGGACTTGGCCTTGCGCTCCTTCAGCATCTGAAAGAGCTCGAGCTTCTCCTTGTCGGTGAGGTGCTTCTCCATCTCGTGCATGATTTCGAGATTCTTGGGATCCTTGGTAGGAGAGGTTCCCACAGCTTCCCAACTGCCGTTGGATGCCGCCGATGTCGACGTCCTCGAAGGTGACACGGCGCGGGTCTTTACTGGTGCTGGCTGTGGTGGAGGAGCTGACTTGGTGGCTTTCTTGACCTCGTCGACCTTGAGAAGGAGCTTCTCCTCGGCGTTCAGCTTCTCCATCATGGCGAGGCATAGTGTTGCCGTGGGCTTCACATCCTCGAGCAGCACCTTCAGCTGGGAGAGCATCCGGCCCACCACAACAGGGTTCATGCTCTGAGTGTGACTTCCCGGACTGCCCTTCCGAGGGGTGTACTGAAGGCGGTAGTTGCAGACCTCGCATTGAGCCCACTGGCCGTGCGGATTGCTCTGCATCTTGGGTTGATGGCGTCCGTAGCATGGCCATTGGCTCTGGGAGTGCCGGGGATCTCGAGTGTCCGGTCCCACACTCCTTGACAGGTCGAAGTCCTGTAGTGGCTTCTTCTTGGGAGTGGACTTCTTGATCTGGTCGTAGATCAGTTCCTCGCCCTCCGCGCCCAGGTGTGACATCGGTGGTCGGGACATGGCCGTTCCGGGAGGTGCGAGAGGTATACGAATTGGGTTCCCGTGGCTGGGATGCCACGCGCATTTAAATGCAGATGCTCTACGGAGTCGATCCATCATGAGGATTCGCCGTTGATCAACCGCACAGTCAACTGTGGCAACATCATGCTCGGCAGAGTCAAGCTGGAAGTGCAGGGGATGAAATTCAAGCACATGTGACTCTCCCATCATGCCACCGGAACTCCCTTTGATGAGAACGTGGGCGTGACCTTGTGGGTTGTGCTGACCCTTGGTGAGATACTCCCTAATGTCCAAAACATAGTGTCCCTTGTGGTTCTGTCGAAGCTGATATGGACGGGGATCCAGGGTATTCAAGGCCAGGCCGGTAGTAAAATCAATCATCATAGATGCCCCATGTTGACCCAAATGATCCATTCCAATGAGGATGGGGACCAACATAGATCTTTGGAAACCAGGAGCATGTAGTTCTGGTGGATTGGGTAGGGCATAGACCTTGAAGTTGCGGGTTTCACCTGAAACGGCACTACTGATGTTGACCTGGTACAAGGCACGCCCCCACTTCCCGGTCCACTTCGATCACAGCTGCCACGACGGCCTTGATGAGGCCCTGTACTGCGAGCTCGGGTCCGGCTGATGCGGTGGCCCCGCAATCTACCATACCTTCAAAATCGGCCTGGGTAGATGCCAAGGAGGTGGAGTGGCACTCTTTTGAGCTTTTGGTGCTCATGTCCAGGCCAAAGTACTCCGTGGTGTAGGAGTTGACAAAGGAGCGCGGTGGTGCAGAAGTGCCCTTGCCAGAGGACCAGTTCTTGCCTTTGCCCTTGAAGTACATGGCATCGTGGTCGTACTCCCCGAAGTTGGAGAACTTGCCCTTGCTCTTGCCCTTCTTACCCTTGGAGCCCTTGAAGTAGTAGATGTCGTAGTAAGGGTCCATTCCAGCCATGAAGCTGGAGTTTCCCTTACCGCCGGCTCCTTTGGGATGAGCAGGGTGACGTCGGTCGGGACAGTCACGAGCCATGTGATTGCCGCCGCAATTGAAGCATTTGATGGGCGACTTGCCCTTCCCGAAACCACGATCACGGTGAAGAGCAGCAGTGGCTTGTTTGGCCTGCACCCATGTGCGTTGAGCTTCTTGAGCAAGTTGTTCAGCGACACGTTCAGCTTGCTGTGCTTCTTGAAGATGGCCATCATCACCGGTGTCAGGGACATCTGGCTCCTCAGGTGGTGTAGCGTCGTCTTCCCAGACGGAGGCGTCTCCAGCGTGCCATTGTTGATTCCAGTCCTCTTCAGGCCACCAGGGCTCAGCTGAGTAGCCTTGCTGCCACTCTGATCCATGATGATCAGCATCAGGAACTTCTTGATAATGCAGGTATCCTTGATGAGCAGCAGGAGAATGGGCATGACGAGGACCAAGGAGTTGTTCATCCCAGAGAAGACGAACAGCACTGCTGATGCACTCCTAGTCCATTTGATTGCGCGTTGTGGACAAAATGTCCCGCTTCTCCTCATTGGAGAGGCTTGCAGCTTGAAGCAACCGCCAACCTCGGAGAACACATGATGAAGGAGTCGGTGATGGACAGCTCACTCACGAGGTTCCCATCGAGGGCCGCAAAGGGTGGAATAGTTGACTCCACAGCCGGTGCAGCAGAGGCGTAGGACCAGTGGCTGAGCGGGTAGGCGAGGCACCGGGAGCTGCCTCTCGGGAGCTCGTCTCTCCTGACGTACTGCCAGGTTGTTCTTGTGATGGCTCAGGGGCAGAGGGATCAGCAGGCTCGGCACCATAGAAGGAATCATCCCATGGATCGTAGTTGGCCTCATCGCCGCCTCGCGGTAGGCCGGAGGGATGCCGAAGTCCTTGTCCTCCTGCTTGATGCCATTCTGCTCCTCGTAGAGACGAACCAAGGCTTCCGTGAACTCTGCATATCCCAGGGTCTCGCGGATCAAGAAGGCCTGCATGGTCTCCTGAGGGAGGCGCTTGAAGGCAAAGTACTGAGCGTAGATCGCCGCAGTGTTCGGGAGGCTTTGTCTGACCAGTGGTGATGCTGCCAGGCGTCTAAGAAGGTCACGGGTACCATCTGGTGTGTCGAAAGCTGCCAATGGCCAGGACATGGCCAACAGCCTTGCAGGTCCTGTCAAGCGACTCACCAAGCGGGTGGCGCAATACCGCCGCTTATGTGGTGGCACTGATTGTACCCACCAGGCAGTCTCTCTCGTGTATTTGCGCCATGTTTTCGCTGAGCCATCCCAGGACGGTGCGCTGCCCTCCTTGTCGCTCATGATGTGGATGCCAACCTCAACGTCGCGTGAGCGAGGGAGGTCAAAGCACGGGTGGTGTATCACAGCAGGGAGCTGAGTGCACACACAAAAAGAGAAAAGCAGGTGGTAACCCTTGATGCACAGGGTCGGGCCAATGAAAAAGGGCAGAAGGTCTCTGATGTACAGAACCAGGCCTTAGGCGGATCTGAGAGGGTTCAGGAGCTTCTGGATCGGGTAGCCGTGCTCCGCTACCAATGCAATGGCGTAACTCTCAAATCAAAGCGCAGCACAATGACGTGTCCTTTTGGCACGGGATGCGAAGGTGGTCTGTCCACCGGCGTAGTGATGGCTGCACAGGTCGATTGCTAGGCGCAAGGGGCCCCTAGATGATTGGTGGCCGCGGTATGCACACAGGAGACTCATGTGAAGTCCTTGCAAGGGCAGCAACTGATAGGCCCACATGTACAGAGGCCTAGCTGAATTGCAGAATCCCAACAAAGGGAATTCCGGAAGGAAGCGAAAGAGCGGCAAAGGACGGGCGAAGGTGGAAGGCTTAAGGGCTTGAGGTCGCTGTCCTGCTCTGGCAGCTTGCTTCAAGGATGTCTTCTTGAGCCTCCAAGGTCCAACTTCTCTTTACGAGGCCTCTTGGAGTGATCGCTCCATCTCCCGAAGGAGCTGATGAAGCGACCTTCCGGAAAGGGGACCGGGGAGGGCCACTTGCCCAGCTTGACACGGGGTCTTCACCAATGCCCCCGAAAGAGCAAGCGACTCTGGTGGCACGAAGCGGCAAGAGGGAGGAGCCAGCATCCAATCGAGCCAGAAGCAGTCTACAAGCATTCAAAGTCTGACGGTACGGGACATGCTACATACACAAAGCATCTATTTTCTGAAATTATCCCTGAAAACTCATTGCGTCTCCCGTGCCCTCTCTCTTTCTTGCCACGGAGCTATCCACGCAGCCGGGCTGCCAAAGACCGCCTCTGTGCAGGGCTTGCAGTGCCCCAGCGAGTTGAAGTGCCCTTCTATGCATCTGCCACAGGAGATCCCTTCAGACTGTGCCAAGCACCTCAGATCTTGGCAACATGTGGCAACATGTCAAGTGACTAGAATTTGACTGGAATCTCATACAATAATTTGGGAACATGCCGAAAGTCGGCGGAGCCAGAACGCTCTTCAAGCTATGCTAGCCGCAAGTCTGTCAACACTGCAAACATTGCCCGCCGCACGGACAAACAGGACCCTTCTTTGGACTCACAAAAGGCCTTGTTTCTTACTTGCCTGGCTGCATTCCGGCAGCATTGAAGGAATTGTTGACAAACACTGGCCTGGCATCCTTGCATCGATCGTCTGCTCCCTTCAAGCACTTGAAGCTCTGGAGTCCTTCGTATGTGGCCATGAAGCCAGCACCAACAGAGACTGTGCCATCTTTGTCAGGCGTGTCCAAGCGCAGTGGGGCAAATCCTCCCGGACAAAGCAAGCCGAGCATGCATGGCGCACATGCACTTCCATTGAAGTGTGATCCATCTTCACACACGCACTGTTCTTTATGTGCAGCGAGAGCTGTACGTGTGGTCATGCGCGCTGGGCAGCGCACACATTGGCTGGAGCCAGTACCGTTCGAGAACTTCCCTTGTGGACATGCGTCGCACTGAAGGGCTCCTTGCAAGGACGCTGTACCTTCTTTGCATTCTTCGCAAAGAAGCTGCCGGGGCAATGCCTGAAAGCGGCCCGCTTCACAGGGAGCGCACACGCCTCCACTTACATAGGAGCCCTCTTTGCACAGGTCGCATGCATTTGAAGTGGTGTTGAACACTTCTCCGTCGTTGCAGCTGTTAGCATTGGGTAGCCATTTCTGCCAAACCGAAGGATTGGCTTGGAGCCAGTCACATGCCAGCTTTTGAAAGAAGCCTGGCTGGTCTGTCTCTGTGGGCCCATTGCCCTCAGTTTGAGACGCTCGGACAAGCTTCAGTATGCCGTCCAGCTCTCGGATATTTAACCGGATCTGGCGAAGCAAAAGCTCAAGCTGCTGCCTGCCAGCAAGAATTGATTTCCATGCAATCTTGAGTGGAATTTCGGGAACAGCCCCTATTTCCTCGGGAAGATGGACCAGGCGAGGATCCAGATCGATGAATTGTGTATCAGTGCTCCACCACAGGAAGGACACATTGAATTGCCTGCTGCGTATGACCTCATAGAAAGCGTCGTAGCCGAGGGTAAGTTTGGCGACTCGCATGTTGGTCTCTGCCAGGGCTTGGTACATGGCAGGCTTGAGATAACCCCAGTCGTCATCCAGCACTGCTACACACTCATCCCGCCATTTGTCTCCCAACGCTGCACAGGCTGGGCTGAGCCACCACGATTCGACACAGCTAAAGTTGTATTTCAGCATTTCTGCAAATCCGATTTGAATGAGGTCGTCAGTCTCGTTAGTCTGACTGGGACATCCCTCGCTTTCTGCTAGGATGCCAGCATTCAGATACGTGCGTGGTGTGGACAGGTACTTGGTTGCCCAAGGTTGCTGAAACGCACGGTGGCTATTTAGGACGCGAGCGGCGTCATCCCATGCAGCATGCACACTGTCTGACAAGACATAGAGGCCATCTGCAACCGCCACACCCACGGATCCCATGTCTGCTACAGTTCCCGTCTCCTGAATGCGCTGGCCATAGATCTCCGAAGCTGAGACAAAGGGCTCAGCTACAGTCTCCATCGATAGCATGATGTCAGGCAGCAAATCATCAAATAATTTCAGGCCAGCTTTGACAGCTTGGGTCGGGTCACCTTCAGGGATAGGCTCCATGTGACGCAAGCTTGACATGCTTCAACAATCAATAGACTTGCTGGCCTTGTAGGCAATGATAATCTTGCCAGCCAAGACAATCAGGTAAAAGACCTAGCAAACACTGCAGCTCGTCTTCGCAATAGACATACTCCACTTTGATGCCCAGTATCTCCTCTGCCAGAATACCCACAATTTGATTGAGCATTGCATGCGAGTCCCAATATCCGCTGCACCGCGCAATGCGCAAAGGAGCTCTGCTTGTCTTCCCTGAGGAAGAAAAGGACATCTCTGTTGGCACTCGTGCCCCATCCAGGCATAGCGGACATGACTGGAATGTGCAGATACCTTCAAACAAAGTCAACCAGGTCATGGTCCCTGTTTTCAAAGAGCAAAACAACTTCCGAAACAGTGCTCGTATTCGGTACCACTCGAGGTAGTCAAGTGGGTTAGGTTAGAAAGTCTAGATGGCTAGACCGGTATTTCGACCCCCCGCTTTCAGCAGCTCGCAAGCACCCAGCATAGACAAGCAAGGCTGTTGGAAAAATGTTGAACTTCATCGGCTCTGCACTCTCCACGTTGCATGCTCGCCGCTGGCATGCTAGATGCGTGCGGGTACTGACTGCAGGCTGAAGTACATGCTAAATGTCGCAATCTTTCAATGATGGCGTTTCTAGCAATCCGAATGTGAATTTTCGTGCGCGCGCTCCCTGGTGATGTGCTTCCAATCGAGATCATGTCACTCTGCACTACCTGCAATCCTTATCTGGCTGGAATTGCTGCGATACAATGGTAGGCGAGTGCACGAGCCTGTACTGGGAATAGCAAGCACAACCCACATCGTTTTCGAAGCATACTATGAGTTTCTGATACTTGCTTGAGACCAACGCGGGCTCTAAAGCCAGGCCCCGAGCCTCCTCAACCAGCTCAACAGCCGGAGTAGTTGGGTTCGCTCGACGGAGAGGCACCTGACAAGTTGCACCAAAACGAAAAGTCGATGCACCGTCACGGTCACGGTCACGCGCATGCGCTCAATGCAAACCTTGCATTTTACATGCAAAGCTTGCGAAGCTTTGCTGGCCTTTGCCGCTGGCAGGGCTAGTAGGCCAAACGGCAGCTCCTGCCATGCGGTTGCTGAGCTTCGGGCTCACGCACGCTTTTGAGCTTGAGGAGCTGCTGAGTCTTTAGCTTGTTCCCAGCTCCGCTGCTTTGCGTTGAAAACAGTGCACGTTGAGCCCGCATCGAAATGTGGTTTAGCAGAACAGGCAACTACAACTACGCTCGACACGCAGCGTCCCAATCAGGACTTGTGCGCGCAAAATGCAAGATTCCAGCAGACCACACGCGCCCAGCCCGCCACCAGTCCTCGCCATTCCACCTTGTTCGGCCTGCCAGGTTCAATCGAGGTGTTCAACGCGTTCCAGCCAAGCCACTCTGCTGTCCAGGCCTCCCTCCGGTCGGACTTCAGCTGGAATGCCTCACCATGGCTGGGCTCTGGATGAACTCTTCTAACTGCCTTGTGCAAGAACGTTGCGTGGCTGTACTGCAACATACATGAGGCAAATCGCCTGCAGGCGTTGCCGCGTGGCCGTCCTGGGCCACATGCACGATTCCAAACAACACACCCTCGGCCATCATGGCCATGCCCTTCTACGAGCGCGATCTTGATTGCAGCAACATGCGGTGTGTGACTTTGAAGCGGTAACTGCAAAAACCATGCTTTGAACATTGTGTAAATAACTACTCCGGTGCTCAATATTTTGACGCCATGGTGCGCTCGCTTGCAACATCTCGGACAGGGCAAGCCAGTCAAGTTGCAAGACGCACTCTTGGGCCTTGAGCACAGAATATCACTTGTGTGTCGGTTGAAACCGCCAACTTTGGGAGATGCGCATCGCTCTTCCATGATTCAGTTCAAGCAACTGCGGCTGTCTACAAGTCCGTGGCTCCAGCGCGCAAACCGCGAATTTGTAGCACGAGAGTAGCACGCAGTCGCTCCAGCTCGACAGTCGCAAGTTTGTAGCGCAACGAAGTACGCTTCCGCAGCTCCAGCTCGAAAATGTGCGAAGCACAATTCCGCAGCTCCAGCTCGAAAATCGGAACTGTGTAGTACGGGTAGCATGCAACACAAGTCTAGTGCGCGAAATGCACATCTGCAGCTCCAGCTCGAAAATTGAAGCTTTGTAGGACCCCCTCCAAAAGCGATACCCGTAGAAGCCGACTCTCGAGCAGGAGCTGCAGAAGCGTACCTCGCGTACTGCGCTTTTGCCACAAAACTGCTGGAGCCGCGGACGTGTACTTGGCCCATCGTTCTTTTTCTTCGGATTTTCCACGTTTCTGCGCCCTTCATGTCCGCTGCTTGATGAAGTGGTCTTTGGACCCTGGGGGGTAAAAGGCTTTTAAAACAAAGGCCGTTACATGAACATCATTTGTTTGACTAGCTGGGGGATGGGGTCCTGGGTGGAAGTCCAAATGTACAAATCCTTTTCCACACCAAGCTAGACTTGCGAAGGCCTCAACGTTAAAGCAGCACATTTCTGCATCATCAATGGAACAATCATGGTCTTCCCGAAACATCCATTCAGCAAGACCTTTTCAAACCCAGCTGAAAACAAAGCCAGCCAGGATCACGGCGTTTCACGGTCTTTCACTGCAAAAAAAGCCAATTTCACTGTATTTTCATGCTTTTCCCTTGTCGATTTCCCTTTGCTAAGCCCATAATCAATGTCTCTAGAAATCCCACAAAAGTTGAAGACCTTGAGCATTGACCAGCTTCAACATGTCTACATGGTGTTCGCGAGCTTTGGAAAGCGTACTTTTCAGCCACAAGCACTGCAAAGCCATGTGGCTACTAATGCGGCCAACACAAAACTGTCAACCCAATTAAAAGCGTTGCAAACAAAGGACGTTCCCCACATTTCACGGCCGCTTCCTAAAGGCCTTTCTTTTTAAGGCCCCCGAACCCCAGGGTGGAGGCTTTGACGGTTGCGCAATGAAATCTGTGGGACAAATCTGACAAGAATGCCTTGCCTTTAAACTTCGAATCAAGCCTGGCTAGGAATTGCTACCAGCACGCATGGCAGTGGCCTGTAGAACCATTAAACCCCTTATGGTAGGCTGCTTGTGCTGATCTACGCTCGACACGCAGCGTCCCGATCAGGACTTGTGCGCGCAAAAGGCAAGATTCCAGCAGACCACACGCGCCCAGCCCGCCACCAGTCCTCGCCATTCCACCTTGTTCGGCCTGCCAGGTTCAATCGAGGTGTTCAACGCGTTCCAGCCAAGCCACTCTGCTGTCCAGGCCTCCCTCCGGTCGGACTTCAGCTGGAATGCCTCACCATGGCTGGGCTCTGGATGAACTCTTCTAGCTGCCTTGTGCAAGAACGTTGCGTGGCTGTACTGCAACATACATGAGGCAAATCGCCTGCAGGCGTTGCCGCGTGGCCGTCCTGGGCCACATGCACGATTCCAAAGAACACAGCGCCCCAGACCCTCGGCCATCATGGCCATGCCCTTCTACGAGCGTGATCTTGATTGCAGCAACATGCGGTGTGTGACTTTGAAGCGGTGACTGCAAAAACCATGCTGTGAACATTGTGTAAATAACTACTTCGGTGCTCAATATTTTGACGCCATGGTGCGCTCGCTTGCAACATCTCGGACAGGGCAAGCCAGTCAAGTTGCAAGACGCACTCTTGGGCCTTGAGCACAGAATATCACTTGTGTGTCGGTTGAAACCGCCAACTTTGGGAGATGCGCATCGCTCTTCCATGATTCAGTTCAAGCAACTGCGGCTGTCTACAAGTCCGTGGCTCCAGCGCGCAAACCGCGAATTTGTAGCACGAGAGTAGCACGCAGTCGCTCCAGCTCGACAGTCGCAAGTTTGTAGCGCAACGAAGTACGCTTCCGCAGCTCCAGCTCGAAAATGTGCGAAGCACAATTCCGCAGCTCCAGCTCGAAAATCAGAACTGTGGACCCCCTCCAAAAGCGATACAAGTAGAAGCCGACTCTCGAGCAGGAGCTGCAGAAGCGTACCTCGCGTACTGCGTTTTTGCCACAAAACTGCTGGAGCTGCGGACGTGTACTTGGCCCATCGTTCTTTTTCTTCGGTTTTTCCACGTTTCTGCGCCCTTCATGTCCGCTGCTTGATGAAGTGGTCTTTGGAGGCTTTGACGGTTGCGCAATGAGATCTGTGGGACGAATCTGACAAGAATGCCTTGCCTTTAAACTTCGAATCAAGCCTGGCTAGGAATTGCTACCAGCACGCATGGCAGTGGCCTGTAGAACCATTAAACCCCTTATGGTAGGCCGCAATTTGCTCATGCGTTTGCATCTCCCGATTTGCGCATTCTCTCTGCTTGTGCTGATCTACGCTCGACACGCAGCGTCCCGATCAGGACTTGTGCGCGCAAAAGGCAAGATTCCAGCAGACCACACGCGCCCAGCCCGCCACCAGTCCTCGCCATTCCACCTTGTTCGGCCTGCCAGGTTCAATCGAGGTGTTCAACGCGCTCCAGCCAAGCCACTCTGCTGTCCAGGCCTCCCTCCGGTCGGACTTCAGCTGGAATGCCTCACCATGGCTGGGCTCTGGATGAACTCTTCTAGCTGCCTTGTGCAAGAACGTTGCGTGGCTGTACTGCAACATGCATGAGGCAAATCGCCTGCAGGCGTTGCCGCGTGGCCGTCCTGGGCCACATGCACGATTCCAAACAACACACCCTCGGCCATCATGGCCATGCCCTTCTACGAGCGCGATCTTGATGCAGCAACATGCGGTGTGTGACTTTGAAGCGGCGGCTGCAAAAACCATGCTTTGAACATTGTGTAAATAACTACACCGGTGCTCAATATCCGCCGACATTGTTCGGCGTGTCGGATACCTAAGAGAGGATAGAGGATAACCCCCCCCTTAGTCCCCCCCTGGGACACGTCAATTACGCAGGGGTTTTTCGGTCGCCACCCCCCCTCCCCCCCCCCTGTGTTTGGTTTACTGAACAGTTGATCTCCTGCAACATTTGGCTCAAGGCCCCCTTTGTTTTGTGTAACATTGCATCATTCATGATCGCGTGAAGCAAAAGAACCTTAGCAGGCCGCTTACAGGATTATCCACAAGACAATCCACCAGGGACAATCCATCCTCCAATCATCCACAGTGGCATATTGGATTGTCTCTCCGGAAAAGATCCAGGGACCAAATCAACGACCTCTACTACCACAGGGTACCAGTTCCCTTCTCCTGTCGCAGTGAGCCTCAATTTGTGGCAGCGGAGCGGGTTTTCCGATCCAAGGGAAGATGTCATCCGATGGAGAAGACAAGTGCAATGTCACTGAGAAACATCTCACTAGAAAACTACTCCTATGAGATGCTGAAGACGCACTACCATGAACTCTTCATCACGACGAGGACATCCATCCAAGATCCATCCATCCGACCTCAAGGAGGCAACCGAAGCAACACATTCTTCATCATCGAACAAGGTGAATATGAAGGAGAAGAAGGCTTCTGGGTTGAGGATGAAGAAGGACTTGAAGGATTCATGTCAAACAACGATGAAGAGTAAGAGACATTCTGGGTCCTCGAGGAGAACGATGCGTTCATAGCAAGGAAAGTGTCGGGCGCAACTTCAAATTCAAGAAGAGAAAAGGAAAAGGAAAATCAGGAAACAAAAAAGGCAGTCACCAACGAGGTGGCTTTAAACCCTTCAGAAAAAGCGGTTCTGGCGGAAAGGCAAATATGGCCAAAGAAAACTATGTTCCCTACGACCAGGCATATTGGGGAAAAGGCACCATCGTCCGCGATAGCCTGGAGCTGCTTCAGAATCCAGGAACATGCCGCATTGTCCACGTCCACCGCCTTTGGTTCTTGGGGTCAAGCCCGGGCAAACCTTCTGGGAGGCCGGCGCCTTCGGTCAAGGCCATGCCATCCAGGCTGGGCGAGATCTTCCTCACAGGGCATTTGAAGAATGGCGCAGCATTGTGCCCGGACTGGCAGTGGTGGAGGTGGATCCCTGGCCGGTGGGGCCATCGACCCTCCGCCGGCCGGCAGTGCGGCTCCCCACAAGCAAAGTGGGCCTGCGGTTGAGGCAGAACCCGGACAACGCCGAGGCGGTCGGCCGCTGCCGGGAGAAGGTGGGCTTGCTGCTCCGCCCGCACCCGCGCCCATTCAGCGGCGACGAAGTGGCCACCCACGTGGACGGCATCCTCGAAGGCCTCAAAGGCGAAGCCCAGAGCCGCCCGGCTTGCCCCCAGAGTTGGCAGCAACGGATGGGGCAGGCTTTGCATTGGTGGATGCCACATGATGCGCAAACAGATTGAGCCCTGTTGCCGCAGTAGGCGCAAAAACCGCCTAGAGGGAGGTTCCTCCTCCCCTCATCCAGCCACCCACGGAGAAGCCTCCCCGCTGTCCAAGTCGCCAGATTCCACCCCAGCGATGGCCAGCGATGGCGGATCGGGATGATGTCCTGCACAGAGGCCACTGCCTCCATGGCCTCTGACAGGCAATCCTCCTCATAGCACCCATGATAGGCGGCAGGCCTCCGCTGCAGACGCGCCTCCTTGAACCAAGACTGCACGCCGACACCAGGTGCCAATGAACGGGAACTTGAAGCCGCCAAGAGACCCGTCACATCTTGCACAATGGGCATCAATGCAGGGTGCAAATTGTAAGTGGGGTATCTCCCCACTATCAGCCACGGGCAGGGGCGTTTGCACGAAGGGGGCATGCAACACTTCCACAGCCGAAAGCCAGAGCGGTGGCCGTGATTCCCCTGCTGCAGCAAATTGCCCACATGGCGCTTGAAGTCGAGGTAGGCGCCTGTGGACAAGATAGGACGATCCGTGTGAACGGCCAAGTCAACTCCTGGAACTGCCAACATTCGACAAGTAACCCTTGCCGAACATGCAAAAACCAGAAGTTAAAAATTAGCCAGTTTGGATCATACTTGAGCCAAAAGGCCCCGCATGATCCAATACACTCCTTGCAGAATGAAGCCTGTAAACCCAAGCCTTCCAACCTGATACAGGATTAGCTTTGCTGTTGCTGCTGCTCTTGTCGTTGTTGCTGTTTCTATTGCCGTCTTCATTGTCACGACGGCTGCTGCTGCTGCTGCTGTTGCTGCTACTGCGGTTGCTGCTGCTCCTGATGTTGTCGTCGATGACACTGATATTGGTATTGATGTTGGTGTTGGTGCCGTTGCCGCTGTTTCTGTTGTTGTTGTTTTTTTTCTGTTGCTGTTGCTGTTGCCATTGTCGTCGCTGCTTGTGCTGCTGCTGCTGCTGCGACGCTTGTTGCTGATTTGGTTGGGGTTGTGGTTCTGGCTGCGGTACAACAAGCTGTTCTTAAGTTAGTAATTCTGCCTGTTGTTGCTGCTGCTACTCACAGGGGAACAGACTGCACCAGCCTGGCGTTGAAGACCATATACGCCTGTCAAACATCGTGCGCGCTTAGGCAAAAGAGGGGCCTTGCCCTCAATTTGTGCTACAGTTGACAGGCGTCATAATTTCTTAAAGCACCGGGTTGACCGAAACGTGACCTTCGACAAATAACTCCTGGCTTGCTGGGGCTGTCAGCGCTGGAAACTATCGGCGAATCACGGTTGTGTAGGCCCTGAGCGCTGGTGGGCGAAATTGGCAACACTCAACATTGCTCATTTGATTGAACCTCAGATTTTTCAATCGACTACCAATAGGACCAATATCCGATTTTCCAAGCACCGACGTGAAAACCAAACTTTCGACAATCTAAAAATTGTTGAGCCCTTCAAATCACGCAAGCACCGTTGGCCAGGAGCCATAGGGCAAACATGTGTAAAAACTGCACTGCCGGCTACCCAGAAAACCCTTCAACAAACAGCACTGGGCTCAAATTGCACGTCACCAGCTGCCAGCTGCCAGTCTGGAACCGCAACTGCCAGCTCCAGACTGTCAGTCCGGAGCTGGCAGCTGCCATTCCGCGGCAGCTGCCAGTGCAGAGCTGTGAGATGCCTGTCTGGAGTTGGCAGCTGGCAGCTGGCAGTCTGCAGCTGGCAGTCTGCAGCTGGCAGTCTGCAACCGGCAGTCTGCAGTTGGCAGTCTGCAGCTGGCAGTCTGCAGCTGGCAGCCTGAAGCTGGCAGCTTGCAGCTGGCAGCCGGCAGCAAGTTTTGGTCACAAAACCCCTCAAAATCCCGACCCCCGTTTTGTGACCGTTCCGATCTCGGAATGGTCACAAAATTTCGGCGGGGTCTTGTGACCGTTCCCAGGTCGGAACGGTCACAAAACGGGGGTCGGGATTTTGAAGGGTTTTGTGACCAAAACTTGCCCAGCTGCAGACTGCCAGCTGCAGACTGCAGGCTGCAGACTGCCAACTGCAGACTGCCAGCTGCAGACTGCCAGCTGCAGACTGCCAGCTGCAGACTGCCAGCTGCCAGACTGCCAGCTGCAGACTGTCAGCTGCCAAAGCACCGACGTTAAAACCAAACTTTCGACAATCTATATTGTTGAGCAGTAGGCCCTTCAAATCACGCAAGCACCGTTGGCCAGGGGTTATAGGGCAAACATGTGTAAAAACTGCACTGGCAACCCGGAAAACCCTTCAGCAAATAGCACTGCGCATCAAATTGCAGAACCTGGAGCTGGCAGCTGGCAGCTGCCAGTCTGGAACCGGAACTGCCAGCTCCAGACTGCCAGCTCCAGACAGTCCGGAGCTGGCAGCTGCCATTCCGCGGCAGCTGCCAGCGCAGGGCTGTGAGATGCCTGTCTGGAGTTGGCAGCTGAGCTCACGCTCAGCGGTTTCTTCTGCTTCTTTACCCCACCTATAGCGGCGCCTTGTGATGGCTTCGCCGGAAGAAATCGCAGCAGCGGGAGGCAACCTGTCCTCTGAGAACTATGCGACGCCGCAGCTGCCTGAGGCGCAAAGGAGTGTCATTCCAGTTCCATGAGGAGGCGTGCCAGGAATCCTGGCTCTCCTCTTCCTGCGTGTTGTGAGAAGCGTCATGGTGCTGATGTGGAGCAGGCGTGTGTGGGCGCCTGTCCCAAGGTGCGGCCACTGGGGGTGGCGGTGGCTGGGAATCCGGCGCTGGCGAAGCAAAAGTGTTGTCCTCAGGTGGAGGCACACCTTCGTCAGGCGGGGTTGGTTCCTCGGTGTGCGTCGCGTCGTCATTCCCGGCCCGGCAATCCCACTCCTGCCATTCCATCACGATGCGCTGTCGGCGAAGGAGTGCGTAGCAGTTGCGGCAGCTGTGGGGGTGAGGCTTCAATGAGCCTTCTCCGGCCCGGCCACAGTGCCCCTGTAAAGGCACCCACTGCACTGCTCCCGGCATTCGAAGCGAAGTGTACGCACTACCCGCCAAGGGCAGCCTTCCACTACTGCCGCTCGGGCTGGGAGGTAATGTGTGCTAAGCCTTCTAAGCAAACGGCGGGCCCTGTGGAGTACCATCGCTTGCCTGCTGCTGGCTCCGGTTCTGCCTGCTCCTGCGCGAAGCGCGCACTGTCTCCCAGCGGGGATGACTGGGTCTCTGCGGGACCTTGCGAAGCAGAAGCGCTGCTTGCATGCGAGGGCTGGTGCTGAGCGAGCACCGTCTCCCTGCGGGGATGACAGGGTCTCTGCTGGACCTTGCGAAGCAGAAGCGCTGCTTGCATGCGAGGGCTCACCTGGCCCTGTGTGAAGCGAAGCCTCAAGCGGAGGCTTGCTTGGCGAATTCGCCGCTCT